AATCTTAAAGGATATACGGATCCAGTCTTAATTGGTTTATTTGTATTCTACGTGAAAAAATTATCATGAGCTTTTTTTCATTACGTTTATATTAAGTCCATATTGTTGATTGTAATAGGTGATTTGGTAGGTCCCCTAGTTTGTTCGCAAATACAATGGTGTCATCTACATAAAGAAGTTCAAATGGTACCCGTTTAGTAGAATGCATTTTTAAATTTCGTAGAGGAGACCAAATACAGCCGTGCCTTACTCCAGCATGATTTCATTGTGTGACTTCACCTTCAATTATAAGATTTGCAGTTTTATTCCAGTAGGGGTCTTAAATTTTTTTTAGATAATTTTTGCTAATTCCTGATTATCCTAGTGTATCTTAATTATTAGACGAAATACAAAATACAAAAATACAAATTCCATCACCATTAAGAGAGGAGTGAGAGAAGGAGACGTAATATCGCCAAAGCTTTTTAACCAAGCCCTAGAAGACGTCTTCATAACTTCAAATTGGTCAACTTATGGCATTAACGTTAATGGCAACAAGTTAAACCACCTCAGATTCGCTGACGACATAGTGATTATAGCGAGCGCATTTGAGAAACTGCAAATTATGTTGGGGAATCTAGCAGCCAGCTCCCAATACGTCGGCCTAAAAATGAATATGAAAAAAAACAAAAATTATGACAAACACAGATGACTCCAGATATATAACTATAAACGGCAGTGAGATAGAACAAATCTAGGAATATATCTACCTAGGCCAAATCCTGAGACTTGACAAAGAGAACCAAAGTGCGGAAATTACTAGAAGAGCAAGGGTAGCATAGGCAGGATTTAAAAAACTTAGTTGGATACTTAAGAACTGTAAAATACCCCAATACTTTAGGAGAAAAGTGTTCAACCAATCCATCCTTCCTATCATGACATATGGGTGTCAAACCTGAACCCTAACCAAGGCAAACATAAATAAACTAGCCACAACAGAAAGAACAATGAAAAGAGCAATGTTAGGTATACGACTGTCAGATAAAAAGAGGAACGACTGGGTAAGATTCCAAAACAAAAGTCGAGGACATAACAACAAAAATTGCCAAACTTAAATGGAGCTTCGCGGGCCACACTGCTAGACAGAAAGACCAACGTTGGAATACTACAATACAACATTGAAGACCTTACGAAAGTAAACGACCAAGAGGAAGACCACAGATGAGATGGGTTGATGACATTAAAAGAATAGCCTGAACAAGTTGAAAATATGTTGCTCAGGATAGAGACCGATGGAAGGAGTTGGGAGAGGCCTATGTCCAAACACGGAAGACAGAAGGCTAAGAAGAAGAAGAAGAAGAAGATCTTAATTATTAGATATATTCTAAAATCCAAGTTTCGTTAAAAAAATAGATAAGATGGATTATGTATCTATTTTTTTTTAATAATACTAAATTCAATTCATGAATGTTTTGCTTGAGTGAGTCCATTTCAAATAGTTAAAGGAAATAAATAAGTTAATTTAATGCTGAAATAATTATTAATAATTAATGAAATAATTCTTTTTGTATCGACAGACCTGAAGATGCTTTGCAAATTGTATAAAGCGAAACCGGTCGTCTAGATAGTTAAATTAAACTGATTGTAAGTCTTATTTATTTCTTTTTCCTATTTAATACTAAATTTTTAAGAAAAATATGGCACAAAAGAGAAGACCTCTATATGTACTACAAGTCGAGGGTACTTGTATAGGTTTCAGAATAGGTACAACATTAAAATTGTAGAAGCTATATCCGTTGATAAGGAAACAGATTTATTTCAAATAATTAAAAAAAAATATTAGAAAAACGGATATGGAATATGGGGGCAAGTTTTTAACGAAGACCAGAGTGACGAAACTGCGTCGAACTTTTTTGGACAAAATATCCAACACGACCTACATTTAACAAAAGGTAAATTGTAGATTTCAAATGAGTCTTTTGGCTTCGTCGACTTGTCTAGACTGAGATCTGAAACAACTTTTGAGTATACCCCATATGCTTCTTTATATATGTACCTGCATATATGTTTAGAAAAAAGCTAAAATAAACACTTAGATTTAAAGTATAAAGTGTAGAGATGTAAAGATTTAAAGTATGCCAGGATGAATTAACATTGGTAAAAGCACTCCTGAGTCTCTAAGTTAATAAAAGATGTAAAATAAGCCTATTTGGATGCAGTATGGATGTTGGATACTAGAGGGATTCAAAAAAAAGACAAAAGAATATACCTTCCTCTCCCACCTTTTGCATTAGAGTTTCCTTTGATATACAGTTCTTATATGTTTTGATTTCAGAGAAAGGACCTTAAACGAGAATCTATTGCTATGACTACTATGTAGTCATTAGCAAATCTTTTTTTTTCTTCAGTTCATTTATAGTTAACTGGACAAATATGTTATCTTGTCTTTTTGTCCAGGCACCATTAATTGCATTACGATTTTTATGTTCTTTATGTTTGGTCATCCAAATGACCGCTAATTTTTATAAAAATCAAGAAACTGCCGCACAACGTCATTTGTCCACTCCATTTTAATTAGAAAAACACACATAAATAAAACTTCTATACGCTCCTGAGATCTTTAAAAACTAAATAAATAGTCGCAGTAACTGGCAATTATTTATAAATTTCGATGTACTTCGTAAGTGTACGAAAAATCGTGATCACTTTGACTCGGGTCATTTTTACCGACAACAGATGGAAAACCAACGACTGACAACGATTGACAAATAATTGTACAAGTAACCCACACACGCGACATGTGTGTGACGATTATTCGCCAAGTACACGAGTCGTTTGAATCTAGGTTACAGCTTAGATATAATTTATATAATTGATAATTTTTCGACTGTTCTAACAACCATTCAAATTTCGTCATTTTGTGTCATGTGGAACAATTTCACCCAATCATGTCAACATTAGACTGACAATTGCATTCAGTGCAATTTTCAATCCCTATGACAACACGATCGAGTTTGACAACTTCATCCAAATAAATTTCAATATGTCACGTTTCGGCAATGAGAATGTTCAAAGTATAAAGGAATTCTATAAAACCATACTTGAATCTCGATCAAGAACACCACAACAAGATTATAAATATTATGCGTGGTAATAGATCTTCTATAGTAGAGAACAGCAACGAATCTAATGTTAACTTACTTTCACTAACTGTACTTTTAATAAATAAATGTTTCGTTATGTTGAGTTATGATTTTTTTTTCGAAAAATTATTCGCCGAATTCCTCGGCGGACATTGATCCCTCGGACATTGATGAATGCCTCATAATTTCATGACAAATTTCTCAAGCTCGTTGCTTGGTAACAGCACTCAGCCTTCGGCTTCGTGCTGTTACCAAGGAACGAGCTTTCGATTGTCATGAAATTATCTCGTCTGTTATCAATGTCCTAGGGATATTACTACTGATAATCGATGTATAGCGGATGTAAAATGTCTATAAAGTTAAAAATACCTAACGTGCAAACAAACTGCTTACTATATTATAATTATCATTATTAGCAGAAAGGTTCTTCATAGATTGAAAAAATGTTGTAATCGTACATAGAAATATTTAGTTGTAAGATCATTTTAGATAATCAGGAATAAACAGTTTATGGATGTAGGTGAAAAATACCAATAAAGCATTATAAAATACTAAACTAAATACAAATAATCTCAACCAAGAGTCCTTCAGAAATTGAAGGACGACAAAGTTGGACACACAGAAAATTGGAAAATAATAATATCAACGTATCAGAATTATAAAAGGTATAATCTTACCAAACAGCACAAACGTGAAAATTATATCAAGACACTAGTTACTGAGGAAATACCCGAATTATTAGAAACATATATTAATTACTTTGTCCAAAAATCTTCTTCGCCTATCCAGAACAGAAGTCTATGAAATTAAAAGCATATGGTATATATTAATATACCTTAAAAAACATCAAAACACCAAGCCACGGCAACATCCCAGCAGAATTGATTAAAAATGGAAGAAACTTTACGAACATCTATCAAGACTGTTTCAAAACCGTCTTAACGCGAACAAACTCAAAAAACATGTAAATTATCAAAATTGTTAACCATTTATATTAAAAAGGAAACAAAGTAGAATGTGAGAACTAGCGAGAAATTGCAGTATCAAGCAGGATTAGTAGAATATATGGTAAACTTTAAAAAAATAAAATTAAAACAGAATATAAGACATGTAAGCAGAAGAACAAGTAGGTTTTAGAGCAGGAAGATCAATTGCTGATCACTTCTTTAGTATTATCGAAAAAGTGGAAAAAAAGGGCATTTAATCAAGAAATACACATGTTAATTGTCAATTTGAGGAACTAAAATATTCTTTAAATATCTGGTATAAATATCTGTCTTAAATCTCTGGAAGAGAAATTCTTAAACATGGGAATTCCATTAACAGAACACAACATACTATATTCACTATATTTTGCAGATTATCTGGTGTTATTAACCCATATATACCACACGCAAAAAAGTAAAAGAATACAAAAAATTTGACCTGTAGGTAAATATGAAAAAACGACTAAATATATGTATGTAGAAGGAAGAAGAGCCGATCTGATACTTAATGAGGGAGAATGTATACAATATAATCAAAAGTATAAATATTTTGGCATGAAATTGACGATGATGTCGGATAAATTCTGGGGGAGGTCAGGAAGATCGCGTTCAGAAATAGTTACCAATGAGAATATGCGCAGATTTACAAGTGTTAAAAACACAATAGTTAAACACATAAAATATAAACAACTGACAGGGTCTCGTACAGAGAACGGAAGAAAATCGATTACCAAAGTAGATACTAGACTGGGCTCCACAGGGAAGACGTGGAAGTGAGGGTTTCGATGGCGAAATGAAGGCTAAATGTGGACATGTGCCAAAACAGATTGCAATGGAGAATGTGTAAAGTATCTGAAATTGCATTTTAAAAATATATCTTTAGCTTTACTACCTTTACTAATCTCTCCACTTTCAAACTTCTTGCATAATGCTTTCACGTGGCTTTGATTTTCCATAGAAAGTGCACACTTTTCACAATTTTTTGACACTAGTTATTAACACATGCAAAATTTTGATAAACTAGTTAGATCTAGCTATATATCTTTCAAACTAATCTTAATTATCTAATCAACGAATGCATAAATCCTAGAATTCCCACTAATGAACTACAAAAACATCTAGATAATTATCTATGTAGTTAAACAATAAATAAAAACATACCTGATTACTCATTAATACCTGATTATATTGATTAATGATTTTGAACTAGTACCAAGACTCAACTAACAAAAGGAATAGTAATTATCTATCGTTATATTTCTTAAATAATCTAATCTGTACTTGCATCAAAGCTATAAGATATGTTTAAACTATTTAGGAAAATATAATATATTATATGAGGTGCTCCGTGGACAAACGGCGAATACGCCAAATGGGCATTTTGAGAAAAACGCGATTAAAGTTGAAAAAGTGTTTTTAATTCAATAAGGGCGAATATACACGTCATCAAAATTTTGTAATGCGGTTAGGTAAAAACTATTTTTTTTATAAAAAGTTTTGCTTGTTAAGCAAATAAGATCACCCATCTAAACCAAAATTATAATTCAGGATATTGAAAAAAGTTTTATTCAAAGGATATGATATGAAAAACATTTTTTAATTAAAAATTGTTCTGTTTAAGATAAATCAAAAACTAAAAAAACACCAAACAATAAATTATTAATTTAAGCAAAAATCCATAACATCATCCTGACTTTCTCCAGTTAGCGTTGCCAAATTGGTTTGTGATTCTTGGAGAGAGATCAGCTCATCAAAGAAACTCCTATGATGAAGCGGTATGTATGGAAAAAGTGACTTGATGTCTTTTATGTTTTCCTCTGAAAGTTTTATAGGCTGTTGGTATTTAGGAGACAAAACTGCGGCAGATAAATCAAACAAATGGCGTTGATATTCTCCTACTTTTCCTTTCTGCAAAACAACTTGTTCGGACAAAACATTTTGGTACGTTGGTTGTATGGAAAACCCTTGTTTGAACAACTTGGAGTAAAGAAATACTTTACCATCTTTAAAACTAGCGTTTGATTTTCTTTTTGTAATTAACTTCTGAAGAGCAGTGAAATCAAAAAACATTGATGATGTCATTTTTACTACTTTGAATGGTCTGACCTTCCTTGATGAACGAATTAAGTCAATATAGTGGTCTTCAGAATAAACATCAATATTTCGACCAACTCAATGTGACCAAAATCCCTGCCACAAGGTAAATATGAATGTCCAGGAATCATAAAGTAATGTTCTATGAAATCAAATTTTAATTCATGAATTTTTTTCAAACAAGCTAAAACAATGTTCATATTTTTGTTCTGGCCGCCACAATTGTCACTAAATAGCACAACTTTATTGACTTGATGATCCATAGAATCAAAGTAATGGGTCAAGCAGCTTGCTATTTCACATGAACCACGACCTCCAGTACTTTCATTCCACATGTACATGACACATTTTCCAGATTTAACATCATGGACTGCAAAATTGTAGGTCCAAAGCTTCCTTTTGTAATACTGTACAGATGTCGTCAGTTTAGGGGTAGGGAGAGTTTGCTGCAGATCTATACAAATTGCTGAAACTGAGTCTTCATTATTACTTTTATAACTTTTAAGTATTTTTTGAACTGCTTTGGCTTGTCTTAAATGAAGTTCCTTGGCAACTTGTAATTGGTTACGTTGTAAATCATCACAATTTGAAAGTTCCATATCTGTTTTGTCACAAAAATTACAAGTATCCGACTTAGGAGGGTTGAAACCAATATTGAATTTTTTATTAAATGTGTCACGATAGAACTGTGAGCTGACAGGTTCAATTAAAGGGTGATTTTCTGTCATCCACTCATAGTACAGGTCATACAACTTGTTTATGTTTAAGTCTGTGGAAAGGTACTTTCGGTAAGGGCTTTTTGCTCTGCTGTAATGGCTTGAACATTTGGGTAAACTATTTACATGTAACATTACAGTTTCTTTCATTTCTACACTTACTTTGTTAACTGGATTTTTATTTCCTCTTCTGTCGAATTCTACAGTGCCACTTGTGGATACTTTATTCAAAACAGTTCGAACCCTCTTTTCAGTGACACCATGAATCGCATAGAATGCTTTTTTGCAGACTTTAAATTCATTGCTTTCAAAAAGTACACTGTACTCAATACTACGTAACTTTCGACTAGGTCGATTTTTAATGCGACAACGGTTGACAGAAACAGATTTCACTCTTTTAGATAAGTAAGTGTTTTGTAGGTTATACTCAGATAATTCCCAAAAGTTTTTAAAAATTATACTAATTTTCTCCAAACCTACTTTCTCAAAACATCCACAGGAACAGGGACTTCCCACAGTCCGCTTAGGCACAAGTTTTCTGTTTTTAATGGTGCTGTATTCTTCACCTGAGTTTCTTTTAACTTTATTCACATTCTTTTGCCACGTGTCTTCAGTTTTCGACCTTTTTCTAGTGTAGCCTTTGTTTTGGTCTTCTGTAAACTCGCTTTCTGACATTGTAGCAGTAAAATTTTAACTTTATTAGTAAAATAACTCAAACTATTCAAACTAATCAAAATAAAAACTACTTGCTTTGACAAGCAAAATGACACTGTAGCTTAAAACGGTAAAAATAAGACGGAAATCACGGAAATTTTATTCAGAAATTTGGCAAGACAGAAGTGGGAGGGCTAGTTGTGTACCGACGTAGCGGTGGCGTATTCGCCGTTGTTCCACGGAACATTTACCATACTTTATAAGATTCATACCGTTTGCTTTGTCAACCTATTATAGTTCTGAATAGAAAGGACGAATAAACCATGTTATGGTGGTACATTGTTCGAATAATGATCAGGCTATCCATTGCATTAAAAAAAAACAGTAACTGGCGTATTCGCCCTTTTTCCTCGGAGCGCCTCATATTTAAAAGCAAGTCGCAAAAATAAATAAGCCAAATAATAGTCTAGGAGCCAGAAGAGGGGGGTTGAGTATGCACTTTTGTGTCCCCTCGGCACCTTGACGTTTTATTATGTTTTTTGGTAAATAGAATCGATTTTTGGAGTATACCAGGCTGAAAATCGTCAGATAACTTATTATTAACAATTTAATTGTTTAAATTATTGCATCTCCTAAACTATTAGAGATAATTAATTTTAGTAAAATGAAAATTATTCACACGCTTAACGGAGGCGTACATTCGACAAGGCTGGAATAGCTGTTGATGATGATAATTAACATTTGGTTGCCTGTCGTGGACATTAACAGAAGAACAAAAAGAGTAAAATACAGGTAGCAGAAATGAAATCAGCAGAAAAAAATCCGAAGACGAGTTCTAGACTACGGAATACTCAAAAAGAGATGATTTACAAATAGAGTCAACATTAGAATATATAGAGAGAAGACAACTCAATTGGTGAGGTCATCTTCAGAGAATACAAAAACGGTGAAAAACATTTGGCAGGCAAAAATCAAAAGAAGAAAGAAGAAAGGTAAACCACGACAAACATGGGATAGAACCCTAGGAAACATAATCGAAAAATGGGGAACGACATGGACAGAAGCAAGGACCCTGGCCAGAAATAAGAAGAAATTGCTCAAGTTTGTACATAATATATACATTAGAATATAATTAAGTTTACAAATAATATCAAGTTTTTGGATTTTTGAAAGAAAAAAAGTCCTGAAAAAACTTCAGTCAAATCCAAATGTAATAATATAAGAAGATGCCACAGGCATCCTAAACACTTCTTCTTATATTAATAAACTCTCAAATCTCATTAATACTCTAAACTAATGACCAATTTCTAATAGTCCAACAACATATCTGAAAAAAAAAACAACAAAAACTATTATCAATAAAACCTCTCTTCCTGTTGACATAAAGCCATCTCTAATTCCCCGTGAAAAGTCTTTCAGAACACCTACAATATATGGCCCACCCAAAATTCAAAAACCCGATATTCCTCTACGTCCCATTGTCAGTACATACAACTGCCCTCACAACAAGTTCTTGACCAAAACTGTTTTAGACAAAAACCAAAAATTATTTTCATTTCATCGAACTTCTTTAGTGTTCATATCGAAACAATACTCTCACCGTCAGATATTCTAATAATAGGTAAAGAAATAATAAATAAGACTTACTCACAATCAATTTAATTTAACTATCAGACGACCGGTTTCGCTTTCTACAATATGCAAAGCATCCTCAGGTCTCGATACAAAGTTAAACAAATGCTGAAATAATAAAAACCCATATTAGGGTGTTGTCTAATAACGATAAACAAAGTAGGTGTTGTAAATTACCATAATTATGCCAATATTACATGTCTGTGGTTTTATTTAAATGAGCAAGCTGAACAAAAGGTATAAAATCTTTAAAAAGTTTAAACAGACAAGGTAAGGCCCACAAATTGTTATAAAATAGTCTCTTCGATTGTAATAAATTAATAAATGAGCAAATAAATAAATAAAATAAACATTACTTACATGCCGGTACTCTATTAATCGATGGATAGTAGAACATGGTTGAAACTACTTTATATTGTTGAATGGAGAACTCAATTCTATTATTGCAGTTGTTTGACAGTTCTTGAAACGGGAAGTTCTTGAGGAGATAGATTTGATCCAATGAAGAAGAGATATGTGTGAGATTGTTTGTTAAATGTAAGTGATGTGATTTACCATTGTGTCATTAAAAGCTATTTATACTTATTCGAGAGATATATTTTTGAAATGTGTGTTATTTATTGAGTAATTGTTTTATGAAGGTGACAGTTTTATGACAATGAATAAGTTTAGATGTAAAAATTGTGTGGGTGTGCAATTATTTTCAACTTGTAGTTATCAAATTACTTTGATAAAGTTCTATTGGCAATGAGTTAATTATTGGAATAGTCAAGTAAATAAAATACAAACAATTAAGGATAATTTAAACACACTAAAACAGAAAACACTTAGAAGGGACGAAACAGACATTGAATTTAAAAGGGGGAAGGACTTTAATGCACTACATCTTAGTCTTGGGCACAATGAGTTTTTTATGTTGTATCTATTAGATTTTAGTGGTAAATTTGACAGATGTAGGTTAGCATGTGACAGTTCTTCTTCTGTTTCTCAATACTGTAAGTTAAGCTATCTATCAAAAGTAAATTGATGTGTTTAATATTGGCATACTTTAACAATCTTTAATTAATCAAATTTAATGTAACAATATGGATAATTGAAATACATCCTACAATATAACTAACTCAGTCTAATGTCCAAATTACTGAACAAATTAAAGTAATTCTTTGGCAACTGAACATGTACATTTTATAATCAAATGTATAATAAGCAACACATTCTAATAAGTTTCGTTATAATTTCACTCTTTACAAACATTTCTATAGACAAAACTGTAAACATTCTGAAAACTAAATACAGTATCTAGCAAGTATCAATTGCCAATATCTTAATGTAATACTTCGAGACCCGAGCACTATCCACATCAATGCTCAAACCCACATGTTGACTACAAGGTCCTATGGCAGCGATACTTTGGTGTCTTGGTGTCTAAACCTATCTGAATGCTATACGTCTTATAGTATATATAAGTATATATAAGTATAGTATATAGTATAGTATCCAGTTTAAGATGGAGGTGAAAACTGATTCATTCCTACTGTTTCTCGACTTTATCATAAAGAAAAACCAATCCCAAGATTCTCATCACTCTGTTTATCGTTACTTGCATGTCAACTCTCATTATCCCTCTCTAGATCTCTCTCTATCCGTCTCTAGATCAATACACCTTTGCGATGATGCAAGTAGACCCGACAAGCTCTCTAGTTTAAAAAAAGCCCTCATCCAAAACGATGGCCGAAAAATCACTAGTATTCACACACATTAATCTCCCACTCAGACCTTCATCATACGAAAGCTTTTCTTCCACACATCAAAGGTGTCACTGACAAAATCAAAAAAAATTCTTAAATTAAGAGGAATAAAGGCAATATTTACCCCCCAACAAAAACTTTCATTCCTTGTCCGATTAATCAAAGACAATATTCCTAATGAACAACACGGAGTGTATGAAATTCCTTGTGCAGATTTCCCACGATCCTATATAGGCCAAACAAATCGTAGATTCCAAAATAGGATTTATGAACATTCCATTCCTGTTCGCAACTCCGACTTAATTTCAGCTGTATGTCGACACCATCTTACAGGTCGCAAACTTGATTGTGAAAACTCCAGAACCATATCCCCGATCCGCTGCTATAAGTTTTCATTTATCAATTAAAACCGTCAGATATGTTTGCGCCAATCACTACGCTAACCCCCACGAAACCTCCAATCAAACCACGTCACATTAACGGCATAAATGAACTCTTTTCTATTCCCTTTACCACTAATGTATTGGTTGGTGATCAGTGTAGTATTGTCTGAGGGCTCGAGAGACTGAGACCTCAGAAGCCCTGAAGAAGACGTCAAAGAGGACGTCGAAAGCTCGATGCAATGATAATCAACGCGGTTTAACCCAGAAGATTATTAAGTTTAATATTAATTCCTTTAATAGTATTATTCTTAGCTCTAGGTTTAATATTATAAAAATGTATATACTACCATCTCTAACATATTATTGTTATAGTAAAATGTTATCGATTATCATGGACTTCCAATTTTGCTTCTCTCAAGGAAAATTTAATTTGAACAATATTTTTTTTATCCTATGCGAGGCAAATATTCTAATATCCTCTTAGGATATTAGAATAAGAGTCTCTTTGCTAAAATAAAAGCTATACACTTTTCGTCTTATAACTTTGAGTAGAAGGAAATTGAAACAGTTTTTACAAAATAACTTTTATTACCGTTTAGGTTACAATCAAAAATTAACAAAAGGCTTAAACTATATTACAGAACTTTAAACAGTCGTAGAGACACAGTCACTTCTTTACAAGTTTGGTAAAAATATTCAGCCTGTAAACTAGAAATTGTATATCTACTATTTAAAGATTAAATCTAATACAGGATGTTTATACTATGTTTTAGATATAAGTATTTCACAAAATATAAGCCTTGTAAGATATATCTCGACCCCCTGAAAAACCCTCAAACTCGCGAACACATAACACAGCAAATAAATAGTAAAATACACAGAATATCAAATATACCAAACGAAAACAGAACCATTAACGAATGCTGGTATGCCATTCAAAACTCGATTTTAGAGAACGTACAAGAGTCTTTGAAAACACCTACCATGTTGGCAAAAAATGAGTGGATGACACAAGAAATTCTAGATCTGATGGAAGTTCGACGGCAACACAAAAATAGAAATATTATCGAATATCGTGAAATTAATAAACGCATAAAAAGAAAAATTAAGCAAGCCAAAGAATCCTGGCTTGAGAATTTATGTAAAGAAATAGAAGACCTCCAAAAAAAGCATGACAGCTTCAACCTGCATAAGAAACTTAAATATACTGCCGGAATTAGAAAACAGAAAAATGCTCACATACTTAAAAGCGCGGACGGAAAAATTTGTGATCACGAACAACAGTGCAAAGAATGGGAGAGATACATCACTGACCTTTTTGACGATGCTTCTAGGGAAAATGCTCCAAATACTGCCTATGACAACCAGTTGGACAGAGGTCCCAATATACTGAATTCGGAAGTCGAAAAGGCAATACAGCAAGCCAAAAACAATAAAGCACCTGGACCAGATCAAATCCCTGCCGAACTACTTAAACTTTTGGATGAGGAAAGCATTGCCTGCTTAACCACTTTCTTCAACAAAATTTACAACGAAGGAAAAATACCAGATGATTGGTTAGAGTCACTGTTTATAACATTACCAAAGAAAAGCAGGCCCACCAAATGCAGCGATTTTAGACTAATCAGTTTGATGAGTCACACACTGAAGATACTCTTACGAATTATACAAAACCGAGTATTCCTTCTATGCGAAAGTAAGATGGGTGATAAGCAATTTGGATTTAGAAACGGTCTAGGAACTAGAGAGGCACTATTCTGTATGCGTGTTCTATTACAAAAAAGTTGTGAATTCCGAAAGAATGTTTATGTTTGATTCATCGACTTCGAGAAGGCGTTCGACAGAGTCCAACACAATACACTTTTCGACTGCCTACGGGCAGCAGGACTTGACCACTATGATATAAGACTGCTGAAATACTTATATTACAATCGAGTAACCTCTATCCAAATTGGAGACAGTCCCACTGAAAAAATACCCATCAAACGTGGAGTACGGCAGGGTTGTGTTTTGTCACCCATTCTTTTTAATCTGTACTCTGAAGAAATCTTTAGGGAGGCTTTGGATGACAGACAAGAGGGAGTAAGACTAGGTGGAGAAGTAATCAACAATATTAGATACGCTGACGATACAGCCATTCTTGCAGAAAGTTTACAAGATCTCCAAACATTACTAAATCTAGTCAGTGAAGCAAGTTATCGGAGAGGCCTAAAAATCAACATTTCAAAGACAAAGTGGATGGCAGTTGGAAAGATCCATATAGATCAAGGTCTGCTTTCTCTTAATGGAGAAGAGATAGAAAGGGTAAATCATTTCAAATACCTTGGCAGCTGGTTAAATGTAAATTGTGACTCTGATGAAGAGATAATATCCAGGATCGAAATATCACGTAAGGCTTTTATGACCTGGAAACCAGTTTTATGCAACAGAAACCTGTCAATGAACATTCGTAAGAAGGTCCTGAAATGTTATGTGTGGTCGATCCTATTGTATGGTTGTGAGACATGGACGTTAAAAACCACAATGCTAAACAAGTTAGAAGCATTCGAAATGTGGTGCTATAGACGAATCCTAAAGATATCGTGGGTCTCGCACACTTCCAATGAAGATGTTCTTCAAATGATCAACTCAGAACGTCTGCTCATAAACATCATAAAGAGGAGAAAAACAGAATACTTCGGCCATATAATTAGAGGACCCAAATACCATTTACTTCGCCTTATAATACAAGGAAAAGTGGAAGGAAAGAGATGGATTGGTCGAAAGAAACTTTCATGGCTGCGTAATATTAGACAATGGTGTGGTTTCACAGTAGAAGAATTATTTCGCGCAGCAGCCGACAGAGAAAGGTTTCAGGAAATTGTAAGCATGATGACGGCCAACGTCTGAATACGGACACGGCACCCAAAGAAGAAGATTTCACAAAAGTTTTTGTTTGTGACAGTATAGTTTTTTCATATATTATGTATTTTTGGAAATTAACCACAAGTAATAAAAAAATTCTTTTTTATTGTTTCGACATCCAAATTATAAGATGTTTTCAACATATATTTTTTTTACAAAAAATGTTTTTTAATACTAGAAAGTCAGAGGAACCAATTTGGCCTCTGTTGCGATTTGAAGTTATTGTAGTTTTTTATTTGTGATAATAATAATTTCATATTTTATGACTTTTAATATTTTGATATAAAGCCTTATTTAACACAAAAAAATATGGTTTACCAAATTTATTAAATGGTGTTTCTAAAAAACCTACCAGAAAAGTCTGAAGGGACCAAACTGACCCTGTGTCAGTTAACTTCCTGTCGGATGGATAAAATTATATTTATATACGTTTGTTACTAGAAAGTTTTTTGTTTATCCTGCGTTTTATTAGATTATGCTGAATCTCGTCTCTGGATTATTGAAACATTCGTTCATTTGTAACAATTTACGACGACTGTAAATATGCTTCGACGTGAACTGTCAGAATTTGAACTTCTTGAAGAAATGCGAAAAATAGAACAAGATTTTTCCGAAGGAGAATCTGAATTTAAAAAAATATTGAGTCAGACGATGAAGAATACGTACCACTACAAAATAGTGCTTCAAGTACCTCTGATGCTTAACATCAGTTGAAAAGTTTCATGGTACAAGAATTATAAATTCATGTAAACACTGCTTATACTTCTTAATAACACGATTTAGCTAATATTATTGTGAATTCAAGAGCATTTAAGCCAAGTCGCAAGAGAAAAAGAGGTCAACAAGCAAAAGCTAGTTCAATCTGAGACTGCGAACAATCGAAAGACGGAACAACATGGAAAGATATTGGTTCTGGATCAGTGCCTGGTAAGATTATGATTTATGGTTTTTTTATTTTCATTAAATGTTTACTATCAATATAGAACGCCGCCCTTAGCACAATATTTGTCAAGACGAATCAGGTCCTACTTCGTATACGAAAAGAAACGTAAAGAATTGTGTAGTAAGTGCTTGGTATCTTGTGTATCATATAAAAAACGCACTATTACAGAAGCACATCGATGTGTGAAAAATGACACATGGACTGTAACTTTGGAAGAACTGAAGGCTGCCCTTGTTATTATGTACGCAAGAGTAGTCTACGGCGCCAAAAATTTCTCATTCAACAGCCTGTGGTCAACAGTATGGGGTCCTCAGTTTTTTAGGTAAATCATGCCACGAGACAGATTCAAGCATGTTATAAAATATTTCAGATTTGACGTAAACGAGATCTAAACGATTGAAAACCGGCACATTTGCTCTAGCCTTTGTGGTTTAAAATGGATTTATTAAAAATAGTGGTGCATGTTACAAATCGGAAATGAACCTCACTGTGGACGAACAATTACTGTCTTCTAAAGCCAGGTGCTCATTTACAAAGTACATATCAAATAAGTCGGATAAGTTTGGCATACATTTTTGGCTTTTGGCTCGCGTGAAATCAAAATATATTGTAACTGGTTACCCTTATACTGGTACTAATCATCTACATAATTAAGACACAAGTTTTGGTGAACACGTTGTTTTGTGGATGATGCAAAATCAACTGGAAAATAGCAAAAATGTTATGACAGATAACTACTTCACATCGATTCACATCGTTTTGTAAGTACTTTGAATCGCAACATAAAGGAAGTTCCTCTAAGCGTAAAGCGTAAAAAGATTGTATGTTACCCGTATATTCCACAGCAACGAAAAAATAACAGTTATTACATACCAAGAAAAGAGTCACAAGAATGTGCTTTAGTTGAGCTTGTTACATCAATCAGTAGATGTTGCTGTCGATAGAAAAAAACTTCCTGAAACAGTAAGGTTTTATAATCAAACTAACTGTGGGGTTGATGTAGTGGACCAAATGGCGCGTCTTTACCCTACAAAATTTGCACGTGGTATTTTCAATTGTAATTCAATTGTAATTATTTTCAAAAATATTTCTGTAAAGTAGATCTTGATAGGGCAGTGTAAGCACTAAAAATATCTCGTTTTGCCATTTAATTTTAAAACAAATTTCAGAGCAAGACAGAGATTACAATTTTCTCCTAGTGATCCTCTCAAGTTTGATGTAGGTCAATAGAACATTCTACAATAGCCATGTACAAAATCAAATTTTAGATAAAGGTTTCATCCAATATCATTCTTTCCGACGTGGATGCCTGATTTGGAACGGGAATGTATGCATCTCATTTCCCTTCATGAGAGCATGAGAATAGGCATGAGAATAGGCTTTTTCATCACAAATTCAGTAAGATTAGGTTAGTAATATAAATAAAAATAAAGAACCTGTGAACACATAAATATATAAGATAAAAAAATACTGAAGTAATTATAGTCATTGCAAAAAAATACGAAAATAAAGAAACATATATTCAGTAGGTACATGCATTAGTCATGTTTGCCTTAAAATATTAAGTGGTCCATTTTATTGATTATATAATATAAAATTATTGTTGGTAATTAATATATTTCGGCAAGTAATGAAAACTGATTGACATCAAGAATTAGAATAAAAAATTATAGATAGTGTTTGTGTAGTAAACAAGTAACAAATAAAAATATCTCTGAAAACTATCTAATGATGCCTAATCTCTCAATTGATGATCAAAACAGTACGAAAAATATGACGACTGCGTATGCACTCGTGACAAGATGAATAGGCGTAGTTATACGATATAAAAATCCATCAACATGTAAATTAACAAATTAAACTGCTATAACTTTTGTAACTTTCATATAACACTCTTAAAAATCAGTATTGAGCTTACAGTAAAATTATCTAATTAATTTGTCGGCATCGACACAAATTCCGCAGTTTGACTGAAGTACTGTGGTATTATTTACTGTCATTAATAGAAATGTAAGAAAAAAAACCCTTCAAACATCCTGTATGTAATTTAAACGTAATATTTCAAACTTTCCTTAAAGGCGCCAGTACAATCAAACGTTATTAACACTCATGTGAAAAGGAATGACTAAAAATGTTTATTTCCGTTAATTCCAGCATGTTAGAAAATAAATACTAAGTTCTAGATAATTACGAATCACTCGAAAATAAAAAGTTTACAACTTATTACTAATCTTATCTATTCAATATCACAATTAAGGTCCCAGTAAAATTATAAGCGTAGACAAAGTGTTTATAACATACCCTTAATATATATTTAGAGGAACTATTTAAAGTTATTGACAGACCTACTTATGTACTTCAAATTTTAGCACTTAAAAAACTTAAAAATGATGATTGTATTTGCTAGCTTTTTCTTCTTCTTCTTCTTCTAATGGCTCTACAACCTTTCGTGAGTCTTGGCCTGCTTAACAATATTATTTCATGCTGCCATATCGGATACTTTCCTTTGCCACTACCTGATGTTCTTGGTTTTAAGATCCCTCTCTACGTCGTCTATCCATCTTTTACGGGGCCTTACTCTTGTTCTGTTTCCTTGAGGCTTCCATCTCTGGACTACTTTTACAGCTCGATTATCTGGCATTCTTTCTAGGTGACCATAGCCAGTTTAGTCTTTGTGACTTTACACATCTAACAATATCTGCGCTCTGCATTAGTTCATCCAGCTCGTGGTTCATTTTAATTCTCCACGAACCATCGCTACATTGGGTTGGTCCAAATATCTTCCTTAGTATTTTGCGCTCAAATATTCTCAGTTGATTTTCATCAGTGGTGGAGAGAATTCACGTTTCACATCCATATGTGACGACTACTGGTCTAATTACTGTTTTGTAAATTCTAAGCTTAGAGCATTTCTTGACTGATGGTGTTGTTGTCATTTATTATTGAGACTAGGTAGGGAAAAGTGGAGGCATATTTGTAGGTATGGTTGTCTACTTTCAGATTAAGATGTTAATTCATTTTTGTGCACTTCATATATTTTGTTTTGATTTGATTTATATATAAACCAAACGTAGCAGCTTCTCAGTAGTTTTTTAAGGAAACTTGCTATATTATATCCTATATAATCTTGTATACTCTTTTCGATATTAAAGCAGAACCTTGTAAAACTATTTTATAGGAGGAAAAGTACTAAAAGAAATACATAAATAATAATAATTATTGATACTAAATAAAAAAATCAAAAAGTTGCTATTAAAACTTTGTCTACTTACAAATTATACACTAGGATGGTTTCAACAAAATTTATAAAATTATTAAATAACAATTAAAGATTTTTAAAATTGTTAAAAATCTTCAAACAGTTTTAACTCCGAATCTTCCAATGTTCTAGTAGATTTCCAATCCGCTTCTGGATAGTCATCAAAGTTGCTGGAATCGCCTTCATAACTTATCCTCGGTATGATAGGAGGCTGCAAATAAAAAAAATATGTTAACACATACATACATAATATTTTGTTTATATCCGGATAGTGTTTAGTCTCCAAATTTATAATTAGAGTAGGTCTAGAAACAGCTGCGGAATCAGAAATAGTAGCGCGCACCGAGTATCTCCAGACTACTACTACTACACCAGGTGATACTACTACCTCACAACTACCCTATTGATAGATAGAAAAGACTGGTGTATTGATAGTGGTAATGGTGTACAGTTGCTCAAAATCACCTTGACATGGTCGATAGGTGGTGCGGGAGATGGAGAGTAACACCTAACCCTAATAAAACTCAATTGATTCTCTTTAGATACCTCATTCTTAGTGGATACACTACACACAATGTAGCCGGAAGAATCGACCTTAGACTCTGGGGCTCCCGACTCCAACTCCGTAACCAGATTGAGTACCTCGGTGTGGTGTTCACAGAAACAATAAACTGGAAAGTCGATCTGGCTGCTGCCTGTAAGAGGATGAGGTTAAAAGTCGCTTTACTCAATATTCTCAGTGGTAAGTTTGGACGGACACACCCACATACACTTATATATATATATATATATATATATATATATATTATATATATATATATATTATATATATATATATAGATATAAAATTAATATTTCTTGGGTTAGGTTCAATAAAGATATGTTACATGTGGAACTAGATTTTATTTTCCATTGCAATTAATCAACGTTTCGGCAGAAAACCCTTGCCTTTGTCAAGATTCTAAAATGTGTATATATATAAGGACAAACAGATATTGTAAAATATGTATATATATATATGACTTACCAAAACGTAAAACGTGACACAGACATTAAACGAACTGACATATAAAAGTTGATATCTGATATCTCATTGTTTACTGTCATTAGTATATAATTATTTTTATATGGGCGTATCGTTGATGTTTTTGAAAAAGGTAAGGTGGAGATATATTATGACTTTAAGAGCTTTTTATGATGTTATATTGTTATTGTTTAAATCAGATTGAAATATATTTTATTTAGGTTTTGTGTATCTTTTTTGTTTTTTTTTTAAACAGAAAAAAGCAAAAAGAAAAGGGAGATATACGAATCAATAGAAATAAAAAGAAACACCAACGCAATAAATGACAAAAAAGATACACAAAACCTAAATAAAATATATTTCAATCTGATTTAAACAATAACAATATAACATCCTAAAAAGCTCTGAAAGTCATAATATATCTCCACCTTACCTTTTCAAAAACATCAACGATACGCCCATATAAAAATAATTATATACTAATGACAGTAAACAATGAGATATCAGATATCAACTTTTATATGTCAGTTCGTTTAATGTCTGTGTCACGTTTTACGTTTTGGTAAGTCATATATATATACATATTTTACAATATCTGTTTGTCCTTATATATATACACATTTTAGAATCTTGACAAAGGCAAGGGTTTTCTGCCGAAACGTTGATTAATTGCAATGGAAAATAAAATCTAGTTCCACTAACATATCTTTATTGAACCTAACCCAAGAAATATTAATTTTATATTAAATATAATACGGTTCAAAGAAACTCAAAACTACAATATATAGATATATATATATATATATATATATATATATATATATATATATATATATATATATATATATATATATATATATATATATATATATATATATATATATATATACACACGTACAAAACATTTATCAGGCTGGTGATTGGATATAGAGCAAATCTCAAATCTTTATATCATGTTCAATCGCCGGTTTACACAACATCTGCTGGGATTGGAAGGGGAATCCTGCGTAGGGTAAACAACAAACAGCACGACTACCCCTCCGCCCTCGTATATCAACTGTCGAATATCCATGTCATCAATGAGAAGCTCTCCTCTTTGAGCAAGAGTTCTACAATTAAAACCATCCGTATCCAAAACTTCAGATTCCAAAATATTAAAACTACCTGCTCATCATTCGGCAATGTATTTAACAGAAACCTCAAACTCAAACTCACATTCCTACCCACATAATTGCTGACCCTTGCCAGCAACGAACTCCCAAATGAATACATTGACATCCTGGAGGCAACTCCACTATATTTTCGCCGTAACTATTAAATAGCTAACTTCGAGCTTTGCTACTGACAGAGAAGAATCGGTTTTCTGTGGTTTCCCGGTCCCATTGCACAATTATGTTTGTCTATTGTTGAAGCTACAGCCACAGCTGCTCTCTCCGCGATTCATAACATTTTACATTCACTAATTAAATTCAGTCACAATTCATAACCATATAATTTTTACTAATAAAATTCTGAAAAGAACCGTTTTAGCTCAACACCCGTTCACCTATAGCTACCCTGGACACCACCTCCTCCGCAGGATTATAGCCACCGAAGCGTACCACCAGTGAGCACAATGCAGCGACACAGGCCGACACCAACAAAAACCAAGGGGTAATACAACAAGGGGTAAACCAGTGGTGCAAACTGTCCTCGCTGCTCTTTAACCTGTACCCAGAAGAGATATTTTAGAAAGCACTAAAAGAAACTGGATTAATTGGAATTAAAGTCAATGGAGTACCTATCGATAATGTCAGATACGCGAATGATACGTTAATAAGAGTCGATTGAGGAATTACATGGATAAGATGGTAGATAGTAGCAAAGAAGGCGGACTAACTTTAAATATCAAAAAGATAACACTCATGACTATTGCAAAGACACAATAATAATAGCCGTTATGGACTAGGGATGAACTCGTTCAAAAACTGAACAGATACACATACTTGGAAATAGTCGCAAGTAAAAACAAACATAAGCTGCGTGGATAAGGTTACGAACAAAGATTTGAAAATAATGAAAAATGAGAATAAGGCTATGAATATATTAAGAATATGAGTTGGTGCAAATCGTCAAAGAGGAAAAGATAGAAGAAGCATAGGGTGACAACGTATATCTTGACTAAAAAATTTGTGACAGTGGTACAACTGTTGAGCTGTTTAAAAAAGTAATATCAAAGCTGAAGATATCCGTAATTATTGCCAACTTTCTTAAAGGTGACGGCAATTAAAAAACAAGAAGAAGGTTAAAATATAAACCATAAAATTGTATTAATTTAGTAAAATATACTTACAGTAAGTTTTCTTAAGTTAACTTCGCACCAATCGATTCCTTTAAACCATCTATGCCTCTTGATATCATCGGCACCACTCTGAAAATTAAAGACAAACGTTATTACTTTAGTTTGCTAAATAAAAATAAAAATTTAGCATTTGCTTAACAGTCTAAAAGCTATTGAGCTTTGGTTATAAAAGAGAGTACTAGAATTGTCATGTAACTTTTTTTTTATTTTACAAACATAGTCGCATCAACCTTTCTACCATAAAATGGTATAAGGTTTAATTTTCTTGTTAACAAGTGTTTTTCATTCTTTGCGCTGTCAACATTATTGTTTGCTTAATATTTTTGCTTTCTACACTCTTCTCACTGGTATCGTATCTTTCATCCTTTGTAAGTAACACCACCAATTCAGCTGTCTCTGTTCTATAAAGTCCAATACGGATTGTATTTTCAGTTTGTTCCTTATATCCGTGTTCCTTATTCTATCCATTTTGGTAATGCCTTTGACTCTTCTTAAAATCTTCACCTTTACAGCCCATATCTTGCTCTTTTGTCGTTCCGTTAGTATAAGTGAGAACAGGTCTATAAACTGCTTAGAAAACTTTCATTTTTGTATTCTGTGATATTCTTTTTTGCATATAAAATAACAAAAAACATTTGGACGTAACCAGTCTTTGGATTAACAAATACGATCATTTTTATACGCCGCGCGCCGAGGAAAATTTGACTGAACTAATCAATATAAAGTGATAGAATATTTCCTTTTTTCATTTAATATATTACTTACCTTCATATTTCCTAATCTTTTCGTTCGATCCTGGACTAAAAGCTTTTTAATAAGATCCTTAGCAATTGTATCTAAATGCCTTGGCCATTCGATCTTTCCACTTAAAATTTTTTCATATATACCAAATGGATTGTCATCGTAGAATGGTGGAAATCCAGCTAACATTTCATATATTAATACTCCTAAAAGTAAATAAGAAAAAGTTTATGAATGTTTTATAAGGATTTGTTCATAATAGAATTTTGGAAAGGAAGGAAACGTTTTACATAAAAAATTGTATGAAATTATTGAGAATATGCCAAATATTAGAAAAAACCTGGGAATTCAACCGGAATTTGTACCAAATCTTCGGAGATTTCCAACAAGAAAATGATTCCATAAAAAGAAGTAGACTATAACAAGCAATGTTAGAAATGGGAATGTGAAGAAAATTATTAAAGCTAACACAAATGTGCGTGGCAAATTCATATACACGGGTGAAAATAGAAAACACAACATCAACGCCATTTAGTATAACATTAGGTATGACTACCGGGACACGCAGGCGTGGAAGGCAACGAATGCGCTGACGCCCTCGCAAGACTGGGCTCATCCACTCTGCCTTCTTCTTCTAGTTCCTGTCCCTTTCGAATGTTGGAAATCATATTGGCAATCATAACCTTGCTCGCTGCGGCTCGAAACAGCTCCGTTGAGGTTTTCTTAAACCATGTTCTTAAATTCCGCAGCCATGATATTCTCCTTCTACCGGGTCCACGCTTACCTTTGACTTTACCTTGCAATATAGACTGTAGCAGGGAGTAACGGTGCTGATTTCTCATAACGTGTCCCAGATATTGCAATTTTATGCGTTTGATCGTAAACACAATCTCTGGTTCCCTCTTCATTTTTCCTAGAACTTCCTTGTTCGTGATCCTTGCTGTCCATGATATTCTCAGCATTATTCTATAAAGCCGCATCTCAAATGCTTCAAGTTTTTTAATAGTGGCGTCTGTAAGCGTTCATGCCTCCGCCCCGTACAACAACACAGAGAAAACATAGCATCTCAAATGTCTAATTTTTGTATCAAGGGATATGTTGTGACTTTTGAAGATGGCGCTCATTTTGTTAAAGACCGTTCTTGCCTTTCCTATGCGGCACTTTATTTCCTGTAAATTGCTCCACTGTTCGTTAATAATAGTTCCCAGGTAACAATACTGTTTTACTCGCTCTATCTGCGTCCCATTAATGTATATATGAGCCCCATTTATATTCTCCTTGCTGATAATCATTTGTTTCGTTTTGTGGGTATTAATGTTTAGTCCGTAGTGTTGACTGTACTCGTTTATTCTGTCCATTAGCCTCTGAAGTCCCTCTAAACTATCTGCTATCACCATGGTGTCGTCGGCATATCTAACATTGTTTACTCTTTCATCATTTAGAAGGATGCCTTCGTCTATTCCGCAAAGTACTCTGCCAGTGGGACCCAAACCTGTGATTGGAGTACCCTTCAGTACTGGTCGGGGTAGTCTCAAAAAGCTTTTCTGTGGAGGTTTCAGGACTCCTGATCCAGTTGTGGGCCTTCATGTGGGAAGACATAAGACATGCTAGGCTCCAAATAGTGGAGCCATCCAAAACTCTTACAGTCTTCCTTCTTCTTCTAATCCATGGGAGATTGGTTTCCAGTATGCTTACCGACCACTATAGACTCAGGAGACACCTTTATCAACTTGGATTGGCGGATGCCCCATGGTGCTTTATTTGTACTAAGGAAAAGGAAACCTCGTCACTTGTCGTCTAAAAATCCCCGGCAATGGCCTATCGGTTCTAGGTTCGGTCTGAATAAGGTAAGTTACCCTTAAAGAGATTTCTAGCTTTCTGTGAGGCCACAGAAGTTGCTAAATGATTAGACGTTCGGAACGGCAGGAAGGATTTAGACTTGGAGCCCCTGAGATCTACCATAACCATAACCATAACCATAACTATAACCATATAATATCAGGACTCAGACAAGGAGACCCATTGTCACCATTGTTGTTTAATTTTGAATACATTGTATGCAGATACAGTTAATACATGGTATGAGTCAAAACTGAAAGGACAAGAGTATTAAAAGCAGTATTTTTTGAGAGACTAGATGGAAGATCAGCAGGCCGGGTCATTGTAGGATCGTAGAAGATGAAAGGTGGTAGTGGATGCGGCTAAAACTCACCCAGAGTTGTAAGGCCAGACAAGAAGAAGAAGAATCCTGGGGATATAATTTTTATAAAATGTAAAATTAATAATTTTTAATTTAAACTGTAATTCTAATTATTAAATTTAAGATGCTTAAGAAATAAATTGAAATAACATGAAAAAGCTTATTTAGAACTCAAGTAGCAGAAGTATTTCTGATTTTAATTATTTTAATTTTATCAAATTTCAAATGAAATCGTTTATATTACCTAAAGCCCACCAGTCTACAGCCTTATTATGTCCTTTGCTCTGTATAATCTCTGGAGCTAGATATTCAGGAGTCCCACACAAGGTCCACGTTCTATCATTAAGTTTCTTAGCGAACCCGAAATCTGTAATTTTTAAGTGACCTTCTTTATCCAATAATAAGTTCTCAGGCTTAAGGTCTCTATAAACGATACTTTTAGAATGTAGATATTCTAATGCAGAAACAATTTCTGCTGAATAGAAATTTGCAGTTGATGAAGTAAATCTTCCTGCATTTCTAAGATATGAGAATAACTCCCCTCCACATACATATTCGAAGAGCATATAGATGCAGATTTCATCTCTGTCGCACCATAATCTAAAATAAAAATCTAGGATTTAATAAATTCTTGTAAAACGTAAAAAAAACCACACAAAAAAAATTAAAAGTCTTTTTTAAAATAACTTTCACTTGAAAAATTGAAATAACGCCTAATAATAATAAATGTTATAATATGTGATTTGTTTCCAAAAAATTTTTTTAATTTAACAAAAAATTTTGATTTATTTTGAGTATCAAGCAGAATATATTTTTATCTAATAAATTTTTATCCTCCAAGTCTGATGGATGTCTTCCGTATTTCTTCTAATTCTATTGATTAGGTTTCTGTATTTCGTTCATTCTCTGTACATAAACCTTGCACTTATTCTAATTAAATATATTGCATTACAATTAACAACATTTTCCTTAATAATATTCTGAAGGTAAAAAAAATAAGGCCAAAAATTCAAATGAACACAAAAATTAACCGTGCATACAAGGGAAACGTAGACAATTATTACCATCTAAAAACTGTGACTTCCATTTAGGATAACTCAGTAAAAAAACATCGAAACAGCCTTCTGTAAGCAAGGAATCAAAATATACGACAAATACCACAAACAGAGATTATCTGGGATAGCAAATAAAATACTGATAATAACTGAAGGAAGCAAAGGAGATTCTTGATATAAAAAAAATATAAGGTACAAAGAACACGAAAGGCAACTTGAAAAACAAATAATTTGTGCTAAAAAAGCAGAAAAATATAAAAATATAGAACATTTTTTAGTGAAAGAAAAAAATAAAAAATATTAAAAATACAAGAAGAAATATAGAAGCAATATTTCGATGATGAAGAACAAAAGAACACCCACAACTTGGTAATGATTAGAAAGTGATTATATTTGTAGAAGAATCTACACAAGCTGTCAAAGAAAATAACAGCTCACAACAGATGAACACCTTTAATACATAACTGAAGAGAGAGAAAAAGTTGAATGACACACTTAACACTGCTAGAGGAGATCATATTAGCATAGGTTGCCAGTGGTTCCCCGTAGGGAGGAGTTTTATCGCCTCTGCTATGTAGTCTGGTTATGGATAGGTTGATTGGACCACTTAACAGAAAAGGCCATCAAGTCTTAGGCTATGATGACTATGTAATACTAGTAAAAGACAAGTTTAACACAACAGTCAGGAATAAAATACTACAGGCCCTGAATGTAGAATCAATATGGATCAGAAAATAATAAAGTTCATAATAAGAAGGAAATTAGCGAGCATGTGACCACTAATTCTTAATGGTGAAGGTGAAGTGATAGGTAAACTATCTCGGAGTTATAATAGATACTAGTTTTACCTACAACGAACACTTAGAACAAATAACCAGAAGAGCTGTGACCATTTTCATGGTGGCCAGACGCACTTACGGCAAAGTATGGGGACTGCGTCCGGACATGATGTATAGAATATACAATATGGTGGTTAAACCCACAAGAACGTGCATCTCTGGTATGGTGGCAAAAGGTGCAACCAAGAAGTGCAATGTAAAATGTAATAAAGTTAAAAGAAGCAAGTCATAGCATAATGGGTGCTATGAAAAGCACTCCAACATCAACGAGGGTAAAGCGAGAAACGAGAATGGATTTATATAAACTGCAATAAAACCTAGGCAATGTTCTAATTACATGGTACATTGCAACATCATGATTATAACTAAATATCACATATGTTGGATGAAAATAAAAGCTCATGGCTGCGTAACATAAGAGATTTGACTCGCATAGCAAAGTACTATTTAATTCATCCAAGAATCGAGCAAGAATTGATAAATTGGTCGCCAATCTAAACTAAAGCGATTCTTTATTTGACCCATTTTTTATTTATAGACATGTTTAGTGCTTAATTAATTATTATTTTTTTATGTGTTTTATAATCAGTCTAGTATTAATAAAAAAATATTAAAATTAAAATATTTATACCATTAAAAAGATTACATTTAATATGAATTTTGACCTGCTCCTCAATTGTTTATTTACCTACTTTGTCAATGATGTAATAAAAAACTGGTTTCTAAACATTTACTTTAAAACAGAGTGTTTATTTAATATTATTAAATAGGAAACCTCTGTTTAATTTAAGGCTATAAATATCCGACGGGAGTTGCATTTGTGCCAAAATAGAATATTTAGTCTATTTTTGACATGAATTATTACAATCTAAATTTAAGTAACTTCTGTTATTACAATAAAGTTTTTTTACATATGTGATATATTATCGATATATCACATATATCGATATATATGTGTACGTTTGTATATATATATATATATATATGTATATATATATATAGATATATATATATATATATATATATATATATATATATATATATATATATATATATATATATATACAAATAACACAGTTTATTAGATCTTCAGTCAGAAGTTTGACCGGGATGTGAAAAAACACTCTTTTGACTTTTTGTTTAGCTTTCGGAATGGTTTTATTCCTCTTTCAAGACACTGTAATAAGAAAAATATGTAAATATTTACAAATTATCACAATTCGTCAGTGCAACTTACTAGTCGTTGAGATTATTTATAAAAAGCTTTGACACTCAACATTAATAACACACATATAAAATATAAAATAATGGACAAAATACATTATAAAATTTTTAAAAGTTAAAGAAGGATAGAAAAACTTAGTTTAGGATATCTTTTAAAGGTGTGTTTTAACTCTGATACATAGAGAACAGAAAGAAACAACAATATGATTAAAAAGTAATTAGGTGTTCTTAATATTATATTTCTATTCAAGAAATATAGGCCCATCTTCAAAAGGCCCATCTTGGATAATTTTACTTTTTAATTTTTAAACCTGTCTTAATAGTCTGCAACATGTTATGCATCCAGGTGTATTATGGCGTATATATGTAGAGGTAAATATTTATTTTATTTTTGATGTGATGATAATATTCGATGACTCCTTTATTGTGAAAGGATCTTTTGTTTTTGTGTATAACTTCGATACCGTTTTCACATTTTTAGTTGTAATTTTTAAGCCACTAACATTTTTGAAAATGTTCATTATCTTAGGTGTCAGAACTGGAATGTCACTTGTCGGACCTCATTATTATGAAAATTTTGGTTATCAGAAAATTGCGAAGAAAAAAGAGAACCGAAAATGAGTTTATTTAAAAGCCCTATGGTATAGGAGTTCTCTTGTAGTATAGATCTCAACTTTTTTAGTCCCTTGTCCCTGAACTCGATGTCCCTGTTTCTTTATACGTAACTTCCACGTATAAAGTCGTCTCGGAGGAAGTCTAAACCAGGTGTTAGCAATGATAAAATCTTCTTCCCAAGAAAATTGCATAAGTCGGTCTCCCCTTTCGTTTTTCTCGCCTAAGCAGTGTTGTCCCACGATGTCTTCTATTCTGCTTTTGTCAACTTTGGCATTGAAATCACCCATGATGATGGTAAGCTCTCGTTTTTCTTTTGAAAAACTTTTTTTCTTTTTGAATTTGAATGATGTTCGCATTAACTGGTCTGTTTGGCAACTATATCAGAATGACTCTATCAGAGAAAGGTAGCACGCTGATTCAATCTTTTAACGTGGGAATACCGCAAAGTATTGCACATCAGCAATCAGACTGTCCTTATCAGACAAGAAACCTGAATATAATGGCATAGAAACTACGACGACCAGATAATCAATGTCAGCAGCGACCCTTCAGATCGCTAGAACTAGATTTCCTTCTTCTTCAGCCCTGAACCCACCTTTCACTGGGAGTTGGTTAGCCAATCTCCAGTGTTGTTACTCAGGTTACAGGTATGTACCAACTATACGGTGAAGATAGTAGCAGTAAATGTAATAACCAACATTTTATTATCCCGGTTTTTTATAGCGTTCTCCGCCTTCCGGTTTCCAGTTTCCAGCTACGTCGGTCACTCCATTCGCCAGGGTGAAGGTTTCTTTCCGACATTGCCTTCTGACTGCCGCCCAGCGAGGATTGTTTTGGCCTTCCTCTCTTCCTTCTTTCCCTTGGTGTCCATTTTAAAATTTGGTTTGGCAGCCTATCGTCGTCCATTCTTTTCACATGACCATACCAGATCAGTTGTCTTCTTTGAATTTCGTCATTGATAATACACCATCATCATTGACAATAACCAACAAAAAGATGAAAATAGGAGTAGCGACTACTGCAGTCGAGTAGTGGGATTAAGTAGGAGAGACAGAGCGATTGTAATTGAATACAGCATCATATATGGCGCTTGACTACCCCTTTACACATCTATAAAAAATCCAATCTAAGTCGGATTCGAACTCACGACCCACCGAGAATATTAAAAATATGAATAAATGTACTTCGCTAAAGTTTAACATAGATATGTATCATATTTTTGTCGATTTTAAAGCGGCATATGACAGTGTCTTAAGACCAAGTCTTTACAACGCTATGAATGAGTTAGGAATTCCAAAAAAACTCATACGTTTGATAAAAGTGACAATGGCGAAGATGCTATCAGCAGTAACAATTCAAAACGACTCGTCAACCCCATTTCAAATACATAGGGGGTTAAGGCAGGGAGATGCGCTGGCGTGTCAGCTTTTTAATGTCGCCTTAGAAAAAGTTGTACGAGACGCTAATTTAGATAGCAGGGGAACAATATTTAATAGATCAGTCCAAATTCTAGCATATGCAGACGATGTGGACATTATAACAATTCTAGGGCGAGAACTGCGGAAATCCTAACCGAGCTAGTAGCAGCAGCAGAACGAATGGGGTTACATATAAATCGAAATAAAACCAAATTCATGGCGACTAACACAAACACAAGAGCTGGAAATGTTGACACAAATTTAATCATCAATGACCAAAACTTCGAAGCAGTCAATGAGTTCATATATCTAGGGACATCGGTTAACCCCAATAATAATACATCTGAGGAAATAAAAAGGCGAATAATAATTGCAAACAGGTGTTATTATGGTCTATCAAAGTACTTAGCTAACAAACGTCTGTCTCAAAAAACTCGTATAAGGCTGTA